TTAATTGTGCCTTCAGCTGACAATTTGAGAAATGTTGTGATGAGAGAGACACACACTTCTTAGTTCTCTGTACATCCAGGGGGAGACAAGATGTATCAGGACATGAAACGCCAATTTTGGTGGGCCGGCATGAAAAGAGATATAGCTATCTTTGTCTCTAAATGTAGCACATGTCAGATGATTAAGATTGATCATCAGAGACCGCCAGGATCGTTACAGCCGCTTCCTATACCAGAGTGGAAATGGGAGAGTATTTCTATGGACTTCATAGAGGGATTACCTACTTCACAGCATAATCACAACTCTATTTGGGTCATTGTTGATAGATTGACCAAGTCCGCTCATTTTCTGCCTGTTCGTTCAAACTTTACGTCAGAACAGTATGCTAAGCTTTATATTGCAGAAATGGTGAAACTTCATGGCGTACATTGTCCATCGTATCAGATAGAGATCCGAAGTTTGTATCAGGATTTTGGAGGAGCTTCCAGCAGGCTTTGGGTACAGAACTTTATCTTAGCACTGCTTATCATCCTCAAACAGATGGACAGACTGAGTGAGTTAATCAGATTTTAGAAGATATGTTGCGGGCATGTGTTCTTGATTTTAAGGGCAATTGGGAGGAATATTTGCCGCTTTTAGAGTTTGCTTATAACAATAGTTATCAGAAAACTATTGGTATGGCACCATTTGAGGCTTTGTACGGTAGACCGTGTAGGTCTCCTGTCTGTTGGCTTGGAGTTGGTGAGAACAGCTTTCTGGGTCCTGAATTTATTAAGGACACGTCTAGAAAAGATCGTTATCATTAGGGATCGGATGCGTACAGCTCAAAGCAGACAGAAAAATTATGCTGACCGTCGAACTCGTGTTTTGGAGTTTAAGGTTGGTGATCAGGTTTTGCTTAAGGTTTCTCCCATGAAGGGAGTAATGCGGTTTGGGTCCAAGGGTAAGTTATCGCCTCGGTTTGTGGGTCCTTTTATGATTACAGATCGGATTGGGGCAGTAGCTTATCGTCTGGCTCTACCAGATAATCTTCATAGGGTACATAATGTTTTTCATGTATCTATGCTGCGAAAATTTCTACGGGAAGAAGATCGATATCAACACATTGATGTGGGTGAAATTGAGTTGCAACCCGATGTAACCTATTTGGAACAACCTTACTGTATTCTCGATCGTAGGAATCAGATACTGCGCACGAAGACTATTCCATTAGTACGTGTACAGTGGAGTCATCATAGTGCTACAGAGTCTACTTGGGAACGAGAAGATATTATCCGTGCCAAGTATCCAGAGCTTTTTACTACAGGTATGTAGTGAATTTCGGGGACGAAATTCCTTTATTAGGGGGGGAAAATGTAATACCCCGTATTTTATTAAAGAGTTTAGTTTATTTAAATTCATTTATGTGTGGATTTCTTTACCTATTATTGTGCATGCTACATTATTATATTAGGTTCATTTAATGGTGCATGTAAATTAATTGTGCATGTTAAAATAGTAAATTTGTTCATTTAAATTGTGCATGTATTCTTATTTTATATTTTTATTGGTAAGGTTTATATTAAGCAATATTAGTTAATTAAAGTATTATATTTATATTGTAAAGTATAATTATGATTGTAATGTATTCTTAATAAAATAATAATAATAATAATAATAATAATATAATAATTATAATAATAATTATAATAATAATAATAATATTACTAAATCAATGTAATGATGAAAAATTAAATCTTAGGATAGGATTTCATTCCCATAGTTGAACCTTAGGACATTTTGCTTGACTTGTCTTGCTTGGCTTAAATGTTATAGGTAGGAATGTGAGGAATGGGTGAGAAGTTAATGTAAATTTAGATATTTGTATTATATATATTATATAAGTTTGTATATATATATTAGTTAGCCAACTTACCCTTAAGGCAACTCACTTAAGTTAGAAAGCTTAAAAATTACAGAGAGATATTTTATAAGAGTGAAAGGAAAAGAGAGAGAGAAAGAAGCTTGGACCGATGTAGGCGAATTTACCCGACTACGCGCAACCGGCGGATTTATTTTAAATCCAAAAAGGCAAGTTATTGTCTACTTTTCCCCTTTGAGTTAATAAATTAATTGTTTAGTTTATTTTTATGCATAGAGCCTAGGTTAGGAGGTTAATAAATTATTAATTTTAGTTTATTAAATTAATGAAATTTTAATTATATAGGACGGTATATATTTATTTAGTATCCTATGAAATTAATAATGGCTGAAAATAATTAAATAAGGTTTTAGGGATTTTTCTAGAATTTTCTAGATTTTTTCGGGGCTTTTCTGCAATTTCCGGCGACCTTCCGGCGAGTTTTCCGGTCGCCGGCAATGGGGGAGATGACCGGAGTGATCCGGTGTGATGCGGCGCACCATAGGAGGGTATGCGCGCGCATCTGGGCCATTAACAGGAGCGATTGATCCGGTGCACCGCGGTCCATGTTACCGCGGTACACCCGGATCTGTGAGCGTTGGATGGAGGGAAGATAGGTGGATTGATCCGGTGTGGCGCGCATGTAGGAAAGATGATGCAGCCAACCAACTGGAGGACGCCGCGTCAGCAAGAAGCCATCAACGCGCGCGTGGAAGCGCGTGCGCTAGCGTGGAACCCTCCAGACGCGCGTACAAGCGCGTGGGAGAGTGGGGAAGGTTGGGCTGCGCGTGGGGGAGCTTAGGGCGGCGCGTGGGGGCGCGTGAAGGGCCCTGTCAGCTGCTGGAAGTTACCAGAATACCCCTAGGGCCTATTTTGTAAATTCCAGAACCTTAAACTTGGATTTTTAGGTACTGTGTTGGTATTTACGGGTTTAACGGACCACGAAATTATTATTTTAATACCCGTTACTTATTCTTATGGCCGATTAATCTTTTCTAAGCATGTATTGGCTCGTTTACAGTACGGATATTAATGTGATTTATTTAATGACATTGTTAAATAGAAATAGTGTTATTATCTTATTAAATGGTATCAAACATTACTGTTAAATTAAATAATGCCATGGTTTTAGTCATATAAATTATCCATGATATCTTGTGGGATGTTTATACTGTCAAATGATATATAAACCATGATTATTATGCGGTGTGCATTTCAGGAAATAAATGGACTGTTTAATTATGTCGCATTTATATTATATGGATGTGTTGCCATATAGAACCATGTGAGCTGGCTAATAAGTTTAGACTCATTTATATCTTATGCATTCGTTGCGATAGACAGATGTGTGGCTGTCGGGGTATGTGGTTTAATATTATTGGCATGTGTTGCCTAATTGACATACTCGGTATATTTATTAATATTGTTGGCATGTGTTGCCTAATTGATATGCTTAGTAACTCATTAGTACATTGAGATGCGTTACTACTGTGTAGTCTTTACAGTCGGTGTTGTCAGTACCGTGCACCATGTATAATAGCTAATTTCCCGAGTAGGGAAAGGCGACACTTAACCACCTAGAGTGAGTCTAAGTGATCACCGTCTATTCTGGTTGAGGTCATATTATACATTGGGTAGTTCTCTTAGGATGTATACAGATATAGTACTCGTCCGATTCAGAATAATTAATTTATTTGATTCTCTGATTTGGGTCATAGTAGAGAGGACTTGCTCGTGGGGTTGACCCACCATTGTTGTTATTTCAGGATACGGTCAGTACCCGTTCCAAGGTTGAGGTTAGCAGTGTGAGACCACCATCCGAACTCATCTACTCTTACGATCCAGTTCAGGGTAGAAGTTTTACGTATTACTTCAGTTTCAGTTTTTATTTACTTTTGACGTTGAACTCTCAGGTTTATATTTAGGGATCCTTAACATAGGATTTCCAAGTTGTAATGGAGTTACTGTATTTAAATAAAGGATGGATGGATGTTGTATTATTTAGTGTTCCTTTCCTATCTAAATTCTTTTATTATCATCATTTTGTATTCCATGTTTGTATATTGCCAATTGTTTTTAATATCCCTCGTTTTTCGTGTATAAACCTGATCAACTTATGCGTGAAAAATGTTGGGGGTGTCACATATTGAATATGTGTGTCAAATGGAAGAGAAAAACAAACTGAAGCTTGCAACAATAAAAAATAAGAACGCAGAGAACACACTCAACTACTATGACATATACCAACATTTGTCCCTAAACAACCATATTGAACGGCTTTTGGCAGTTTCTAAAAGTAATGTCCAATAGTGAAGATAAATAAATGAGTACATCTTTTCTAATGTGCTATTTGAATTCTGGTGGAACGGTATTGTTGCTTATGGACTATAGAAGGAAGGAGCACACTTGAATTTCCAATCCTCATGCCCAAAATTTGCCTACTGTTCAATATAGAGGTAATTTAATAAGAATGGGATACAAAGACAAAAGTCTTACCTTTATGACTTCAACCAAGCAGTCCTTTATAAACACTAAATTCTTGATTTATTTCTTCTTGAAATGTTGCTAATCTAAAAAAAGAAAAAAAACATTGAAAAGGGAATCAGGAGCTCACATATACATCAAGCACATAATAGAGAGAAGCATTTTGCCTCCATAAACAATTTTACAATTTCATCAAAACATAGAGGAATTATGATCAAATTTCACATTAATATGCATAAATGCAACAAATATGTATATTCTGTAAACTTTATAGCAAGCCATATTGATTATCGATCCCTTTAATCTTTGAAAATAGAAGGAATGATAATGATAGCTAAATCAAGTGGTTGGCTGCAAAAACGTAAAATCAAGACAAACAAATATCAACATATATTGTTGCCAAATAGAGAATTCCATATGTAAATGGATATGTTTCTGTTCTTCAATGAGGAGAATATATATTTGTATAAAGGTGCAATGCTTTGTGGGTGTGCCTATGTTCAAAACAGAAACAAAGATGTCCACATATGTATATAATTGTCTCAACGTCCACATAAAAAATTCAGCTGAAATTTGAACAAATTAAGAGCTGAAGAAGGAAGATAAATACAAATACCAAGTGACTTCAAACTCGGGCAAACACAAATACCAAGTTTTTGAAGTGATGTGAGGTTGCCTATCCACTCTGGTAAACTTTCCAAATTTTTACAACCATCAATGTATAGAGATTGGAGAGTGGTAACGTGTTGAAGCCCCGCAGGAAGAGACACCAACTTGGGAATATCGACGATACGCAGAGAAGTTAGGTTCCTGAGGCCTTGAAAATGCATGCCACCATCTGACAAATCCAACTCTTTGCAGGACTTGATTTCCAGGGACACGAGGGTGGTGAGATGCCTCATCCCTCCGGACAGAGAGGTTAGTTTTGGACAACTATAAATCTTCAGTTTTAGTAGAGAAGTGAGAAGTCGGAATGCCTCCTCCGGCAGAGTAACTAGATCCTCAATTTCCCATGTGTCTAGTTGCTCTAAGTTGGAAAGAGGAACGAGTGAAGAAGATGAGGTTGCAACAGTAGTTGGGGTTTCCTTTGCCATCGTCAGTAACTGCTCTTGTACTACCCTCCCGCTGACTTGCCGAAAATTTAGTTTTACAACAGTTGGTTGCAGAGGCATTGATGTTAGCTGAGGGCAGAAGCAGATATCTGATTCAACAAGACAAGGAAATGATGGGTGTGATAATAGCTGCCGCTCTTCTTGATTGTTTGCTGTTGATTGTTCTTCATCTTCTCCTAATTTACTCCTCCACCATTCCTTCAATTTTGGCATTTCCATGATATAGAGATTTTCCAGTGATGGAAAGAACGTTGCTGTTGTTGTTGTTGGCTCTGTTGAAGAAGATGGAGAAGAAGAGGAGGACTCATCATTAACACCACCACAACTGTTGTCATCTATGTACTCTACCGATTCTAAGTGATCAAGAGAGAGGCTTTTGAGACAAGGAAGCTGCTCCAATTTTGGAAGATGTTTGCATCCGTTACAATTCTCTAAAGAAATTTGAACAAGATTCAGGAGGAAGGACATCCATGTTGGTAACCTCACACCCCGATACCTTTTTATTTCAAGCTTTTTCAAATTTGTGTGCGGCCGGAGAGCTTCCAACACCGACTCTAACTCACCATCATCATCATCAATAGAGTTGCCAAAATCAAATATCAAAGACTGAAGGTGTTGTTTCTCCTTCAAGTTTGCTTCCTCTGCTTCTTTTAATCTTGGCCTTCCTAAAAGCGGAAGCCTCCACGGTAGTACAATTGACAGCTTCTCCCATAAATTGTTTAGATCTTTCAATTCACTTAACCTGTTAGATGGACCCACCTTGAATTCTTGTAAAGCTCGAAGGCAAGTCAGCTCCCCCAGTCCACTCGGCATATCACTCAATCCATGGCAACCATCAATCTCGAGATGCCTAAGGCTCACCAATTTTCTGATCTCTCTTGGCAATCGTTTCAGGCCACAATTGCTAAGTTTTAGGGTTTGCAAATTTAGCAACTCGGTTATAGAATTTGGCAGAGTCTCGATACCATAATTACCGGAGAGATCTACATACCTTAAATGTGTTAGCTTACTTATGCAACTTGGCACCGTTTCGATCCGCAATGTATGCAGATCCAACACCCGTAACCTTTTAAAGGTGGAAACAATTTTTGCATAAAGTGAATTCTCTAATTCCACCGCATATGAAACGTGAAAATGTAGTGGTTGAGCCGGCAAAAAAAATGTTCTTATCCCGATAGCTCCAAGCAACGGGGCTGGAATTTCCCATGGTCTATCATTTAAAGATGGCAAATCAACCGACACATGACAGATTCTTGGAGGAACTTCTTTTGTGTCCGATTTTACCATCAAACTCTCACTTTTCGCAACTAAAACTGCAAGGTCATGCATAAGATCATGCATTTTACAACTTGTTATATTATCAAATTCATCTAGTCTCACATCTTGAAAAAAGGACCTTCTTAATAACTCTATAAAATACAAATCTCCAACATCCTCCATATCTTGATTTTCATTTGACAACCGAATAAAACCATGTGCACACCACAATTGAATCAATTGTTGCTTATCAATTACGTGATCCTTAAGATATAAGCAACAAATGCAAAGCATTGCTTTAGATGCAAGGGAAGGTGATCATAGCTCAACTTTAATATTAGTAGAATAGTATTCTCCCCTTGAGCTATTTCTGTTATATCTTTATTTTTAAAATCCAACCACTCCTTCATTGTGTCTTTAGAGTATAATAGGCTTCCTAAAACTCTTATTGCTAGAGGTACTCCTGAACACTTCTCCACAATTTCCTTCCCTATTTTCACTCGCCACTCGCTCTCTTCTTTAAATGCATGTTGCTTAAAAAGAGACCAAGACTCGTCCTTTGACAAACCTTCTAAAACATAAGGTGAATTCACTCCTGAAGTAGTTGCAACTAATTTATTGCGGGTGGTTATTAGAATCTTTCTTCCCTTTGCACCACTCTTCAACAGATCTCTCAATTTTAACCATCGGTCACGATTCTCATTCCAAACATCATTCAACACAAGGAAGTATTTCTTCCCATTAATTATTTCCCTAAGTTTCTTTTGCACCCCTTCCATACGAAGGTCCTCAGGTTTTTTGCCTGTTGCACTCTCTATGGCATTTTTTGCTACTTGTTCCACACCAAAGTCCTCAGAAACACACACCCACATGTTAATTTCAAAATGTTTTTTGACATTTTCATCACTAGATACTAATTGTGCAAGTGCGGTTTTTCCCATCCCCCCAATCCCAACTATTGCAACCACTGACACATTCTCTTGAACCTCGGAGTCCATCAACAATTCTACAATTGCCTTTTTATCATTATCCCTCCCAATAACATTTTCAGCAGGCACAAAAGAGTGACTATCCTCCATCCTATTCATCCGAAGTTGCATATCTGTAGGCGGTTCAACACTAAACTGGAATTTGGTTTTAGTTGCAGCAATGGCATCTAGTCTCTCACGAATGGCCTTAACTTTATGACTCAACTTAACAATGAAAAACAGCTGGTTTGAGCTTGAAAAGAAAACACGTACCTTCTTGGCCTTTTTGTTTTTAGTCATCACCTTTCGCCGCAACTCTTCCGTGGAGAAGTCATCCAGCAAGTCATCGGCATCATCAACGACTTCTTTGAGCTTTTCGAGCCAATCACTAGCCTGGCTGGTTTTGGCGGGCTGCTGCTGCGCGTCGTAAAGTCCGGCTTTGATAAAGGAAATGGTGTCCTCCAATTTGCGAGTGTCTGTTTTGAGACCACACACCAATCGGATCTCTTCTAGAGCAGAATAGCCCAACTTCTTCACAATTTCGGTCACAACGTCAGAAAGAAGTGCGTCGGCCATTTTTTAAAGGTTACTGGAGTTATTGAGAGGCAATAGTATTTGAATGGTATGGTATGAGGTTGCAGTAAGCGGAAGACTGGCATGACCCATATTTATAGATAACATTACTCAACCATTCATATATATATATATATATATTTATCAGAAAGGCAATTGCTATTGGCAAGCAAGGAATGTTGGCCTTGCTAAATCTTCAAAAGCAAGGAATCCTGGAGTTGGGTTATTTGGAAGGCAAGCGTATATTCTAAACTATTGCGTCAGAGAGAAGAAACAAACCCTTGTTCAATTTTTATTTTATCTAAATAGCAGTTTTTATTGTTTTACACTGCTTCCTCAATATATTTGACGACAATATTTTATTTTATAGTTAGGCAAAATCTATATGACACAAAAAGATAAATAATATTTAGCAGTGAGTCATGCTGTCTCATTACAAAACATTAAACTTCTAATTTTATACTTTCCAAAAAAAATATTTTATTTTATAGTTTTCATTTTTTTTCAAACAATTTACATAAAGTATTACCTAAGTAATTATATATCAATAACTGATCAACTTTTGTTATCTTCTGTAGAAAAACAGAACAGAAGAAGAAGAAGATACTCTAATTTCTAAAATGATACTTTCTATTTCTCTTCTTCATATTTTCAACACAATACATAGAACTGTATATATAGCTTTGTGGGTACATGAATTCACTAGATACATGAATACTTTAGATACATATTAATTAAGATCTTTTAGTCTTTCAAAGAACATGAACCTTATATACGGCATTCGATCTTCCAAAGACAATGAACCTTTCAACACTCAATATTCAGAAATTTCTAGAATTTGGTTTAGTGTCCCAACAATGCCTCCCGTAAACCAAATTTACTTTTGACTCCCAATCTTGCAACATTTCTTTTAAAGAATTGTCCACCAAGAGGCTTTGTGAAAATGTCCGCCATTTGTTCATCTATTTTGCAATATTTGACATGAATAACTTCTTCATTCACTAGCTCCCTTAAGAAATGATAACGAATACGGATGTGCTTAGACTCCCATGAAGAACTGGATCTTTTGTAACTGAAATGGTTGAAGTATTGTCACACAACAATATAGTTGGACTGATTTACTTGTGCTTGAGACTTTCCAAAATACCTTGCAACCAAATGACTTGACAACCGGCAAGTGAGGCAGCAATATACTCCGCTTCCATTTTAGAAAGAGCCACAATAGCTTGCTTCTTCGAACTCCATGAAATTGCATCGCTTCCAAGATTAAAGACATAGCCGGATGTGTTTTTACTATCATCAATACTTCCCGCCAAGTCACTATCCGTGTAGCCAACAAGTTTAACTGGAACAATGTTTGCTTGATAAAAAATACCATAATCAGTAGTTCCTTTCACATACCTCAAAATTCTTTTTGCAGCCTCCCAATGACTTGAATGTGGTTTCTCCATGAATCGGCTAACCAAATTTACCGCAAACATTATATCCGGCCTTGTAGCGATTAAGTACATCAAATTTCCAACCAAACTTCGAAACATGGTAGAATCAACAAGCTTTAGTTCACCATTTTTGCTTAATTTTATTCCGGTGATGCATGGTGTTGAGACGGGATTGGCTTGCTCTATCTTGAATTTTTCCAGAATTTTTCTAGCATAACTTTCTTGAGAAATAAAAATTCCCTCTTTAGATTGATGAACTTCAATGCCCAAAAAATGATGTAGCTCACCCAAGTCCGTCATTTCAAATTCTTTCATCATTGAGACTTTAAAATCCTTCAACAATTTCAGATTATTGTCGGTAAAAATCAAGTCATCAACATAAAGACTCACAATCATGAAGCCTCCTTCCAAATCATTTTTGATGTAGAGTGTGTGTTCATAAGGACACATTTGAAAATCATTTCTCTCAAAATATGAATTAATGCGGTTATACCAAGCTCGTGGGGATTGCTTCAAGCCATATAAAGCTTTGTTAAGCTTATACACCTTGTGTTCTTCCCCATTTTTCACAAACCCAAGGGGTTATTCAACATAAATTTCTTCTTCAAGGATCCCATTCAAAAAAGCGGATTTAACATCAATTTGGAACAACTTCCAATCATTTTAGGCAGCAAGAGAAATTATCAAACGAATGGTATCAAGTTGAGAGACTGGAGCAAATACCTCATCATAATCCTCCCCTTCTTTTTGTTTGTAACCTTTTGCAACAAGCCGTGCTTTGTACTTGTTAATGGAGCCATTGGGATTCACCTTTATCTTGAAAACCCAATTCACACCAATGGAATTTTTGTTTGATGGTAGATTAGCCAACTCCCATGTGCCATTCTTTTCAATGGCATTAATTTCTTCATTCCTTGCTTTCTTCCACTTTTCCTCTTTCCATGCTTCTTCATAAGAGATTGGATCTTCCCCTGCAAAGAAAGCAAAAAAGACAGGGTTGTCTGGATTCACTTCATTGGTAGATTCATAGAGTTCTTGCAAGCTTCTTATCTTCCTCCCATGAGAAGATGGAGAGCCTTGAGAGGATCCTTCACTTGATGAGGGACATGTTGAAAACAAATCACCATTAATTTCTACACCTTGAAAATCAACAAAAATTGTGGCATTTGAAGAACCACCTGTTTTTGAATCAAGAAAAGAAGCATTTTTATCAAATTTTACATCTCTGCTAATCACAATTTTCTTTGTTTCTGGATTGTATAGCTTATAGGCTTTGGATCTTTCACTACACCCAATAAAAATGCATTTTTCGGCCTTATTATCAAGCTTATTTCTCATCACATCCAGAATATGTGCATAAGCAACACTTCCAAAAATCTTCAAGTGTTGAACACGAGGCTTTCTTCCATACCATGCTTCATGAGGTGTACGATTCTTCAAAATTTTTGTGGGAGATCTGTTGATCAAATAAACAACATAAGAGACTGCTTCCGCCCAAAATTCTGATGGCAATTTTTTGTTTTTAAGCATGCATCTTGCCATTTCCATAACCGTTCTATTTTTCCTTTCACTCACACCATTTTGTTGTGGTGTACATCTAACTGTTAACGCATGCCGTATGCCAATATCTCTACACAACCACTCAAATTCATTGGAAAGATATTCACGCCCTTGATCACTTCTTAATGTTTTAATTGGAAAACCGGAAAAAAATTCAACTTTGGCCTTGAAATCTTTGAAAGCTTGAAATGATTGAGATTTTTCTTTGAGAAGATAAACCCAATTTTTTCTAGTGAAGTCATCAATAAATAGAAGAAAACATCTATTACCACCAAGAGATGGAATCAGCAATGAGCCACACAAATCCATATGAACAAGCTCCAATGGATGCTTGGCACGCCACAAGGATTGTGAAGGAAATGGATCTCTATGTTGTTTTCCAAGCATGCATTCTTCACAAATTCCATCTATACCAGCCCTTCCACCATTTTCTTTAACGCCAAAAATTTTAAACTTCCAAAATTTAAGTGTCCAAACCTGTCATACCACAACTTGGAGTCTCCTTTGTCAACACTAGTGAAACAAGAAATATTAGCAATTTGGAGCTTGAGAGGAAAAAGATTCATATATTAGGTTCATGTTCTTTGAAAGACTAAAAGATCTTAATTAATATGTATCTAAAGTATTCATGTATCTAGTGAATTCATGTACCCACAAAGCTATATATACAGTCCTATGTATTGTGTTGAAAATATGAAGAAGAGAAATAGAAAGTATCATTTCAGAAATTAGAATATCTTCTTCTTCTATTCTATTTTCCAGGTATCAGAGCCAATTTTAAAGAAGAAGATACTCTAATTTCTGAAATGATACTTTCTATTTCTCTTCTTCATATACAATACATAGGACTGTATATATAGCTTTGTGGGTACATGAATTCACTAGATACATGAATACTTTAGATACATATTAATTAAGATCTTTTAGTCTTTCAAGGAACATGAACCTAATATATGGCCTTCGATCTTCCAAAGACAATGAACCTTTCAACACTCAATATTCAGAAATTTCTAGAATTTAGTTTAGTGTCCCAACATCTTCGCATTAAGAAATAAAATAGCACATCAATCTCATCCCTCCCAACAATAGCGCCAGATAACTAACCACCAAAACAAACACTGAGCTATCCAAGTCTCCATCTCATTTAATTATTTATAATTTTAACCATTTTGATCATATAATTTACAGATTGTCCATAAATTGTTAAACTAATTATCATTTGTAAGGCAAGCTTACTAAAGAATATATAAGACAAAATAGAAAATAAGAGAAAGAATAACAGAAAAATCTTTTGTGGTTCAGTCACTACGGGCTTGCGTTTAGAGGAGAAGAGAGGAAAATTCTTCGTAATATTAATTAGGGACCACTATTTAAGAAAATTATCACCCTCCTTACTATTTTTATTCTCCTACCAACATTGCTTTATAATTTTCTTCAACTTAATTAGAACATAACTTTTGAGATCTCATAAAAATATTTATCTTCACTTACTGTGACGGAAGCCAGAATTTTTTTTTTTTTTTTAGTGAGAGCGGTATTGAATAATAATAAGATTTAAAAAAAAAAAACTGGTCGACCAAGATAATTAATATAAATATGTAAATGTTTTATAATAATATTTCCATTCAATATATTATTTATAATTGTATTCAATGAGTCTTCAAAATAATCGTGAAAAGGAAAAGCAAAACTCCCTCCTTAACCACTTTATCTGAGGTACCATGACAAAGGGAAACTATGAACTTTTGTCATACAAAATACAAATCCCATGCACCTTATTACCACAAAACACAAATTCCATTTCAATTTTATTTGTTGTTGATATTCTTTAATTGAAGAAACTAGATCACGATACATGTGTCAAATTCGATGTTTGGATTAAGAGAATATCTATGAATAATATTATGTCTGGAACCATACTTTACTTGTATATAGAGACATTGTTTTTCCTATTTATTTCTTCAATTTATAATCCCAATGAATCATACATATAAACATATATCTATTTACCCTATAAAAGTGTATTCTATTTGTATTTTTTATACACACTTTTTTGCAATAATAATATATACAAGATTTTAATATTTTATAAGAATCGTTTCAGTTTTAAGTTGTTGTTTGAAACTTTACAACTGTTAATTTTATTTGTATTTTTTATATACAATCTTTGGTAATAATAATAATATATACTCGATTTAAATATTTTATAAGTGTCGTTTCAGTTTTAAGTTGTTTGTTTGAAAATTGAAAGTTCGCGACTGTAGAACTTTGCTCGTTAGAACTTATATAATGTCAATTTTACATTCATATTTTCCAAAAATCTGTATATATCTTATATAAATGATGTCTAAGTTGAACTCATGTTACAAACTATATCTCCCTTTCTACTTGTCTATGTAAAAAGATCTTGTCTCATGTTTTTTTCTAATGTTCAAACTACAACTTTGAAACATGAGAGTAATAATTTGGTTCATGTGCATCAGCCTTATTTTTTGGAAGGTATGTTTCTTGCAATGTTTTTAATAAAGAAATCTGTTTCTCCTGTGTTACTAGAATTTTACGTTGGGAGTTTAAGATAATTTTTGATAATACACAATATATATTAGCATTATCTTTTTTAAGAAAATAGATAACACTATTGAGTCACAAATGAAGATGAGTTTCTTTAATTTTTTATTATTTCTTACTTTTATTGCACATAAAATTCATATGGCAGTTTTTTATTTCTTTTTAAAATTTTAAAGTGCTCACATTATAGAAGGAGACGCAATATTAGAGCATGAGAACTTTAAAGTATTAAAACAAAGAAACAATTGTGTAATGTTTATTGTTCTACTATTTTTATAATTTTTTAGTTATTTTATGTTGTAAATTCTATGAGAATAAATTATAAATATTTTATGAATTATTAATTATATATTTTCATTTGCATGTTAAAATTCGTTCTTTTCTATTTCGAAAGTGAACGGTGAATCATTTTTCTCTCATTGCCAATCTTAATGATCAGTACCAATGTTGCATAAATTTTTAATATTCATACACATTTAAACTATTATTTTTTTTATATTTATAAATCTATAGCTTTATTGGATTTATAAAATTTATATACATTTTAAAAGTAGATCTTTAAATTTAAAAATTATTTTTTTGTATTTTTATGTTTTAAGAGTTACCTTTTATAAATTAGGTTATTGGTGGTCAATTACAACTACTAACTAACTATTATTTAAGAATTGTGTCTTTTATATTTCTTTCTAATGGTTATCAATCAATCATTCTTTCAGAATTAATATGATTATTTAGAATTTAAAGCAGTTATTTTAATAAATAATTGTTTTGTGACTTTTCATGTTTTAAGAGTCACCAATAATTTGGGTATTAACTGCTATAAGAGTTGTGTGCTTTCAAATATCAAGAGTTGTGTGCTTTCAAATATCTTAATATTGAAGAGTGGTGACTTTTAAAATTTTATTCCTAATTAGTATTTAAGTACAATTGTTATTCTTATTTCTTAATAGTTTGATACTAACAACTATTTAAGAGTTGTGCATTCAGAACACCAAATTTGTTACTATTGAGGAGTTGTGCCTTTTATAAATATCTTTTTAATTAATATTTAATCATATCATTCGTTCCCACATCTCTTAATATAATCTACTATAGTTCTTGAAACCTAGGCATTTGGGTGCAAAATTAATCAACCTCTCTCTCAAGTTTGGTTTTTTTTTTTTTTTTTTTAATTTTAATTTCCTTTTCTAAAAATAAGTATTAAAAGGATTTTATAAATTTGTTAATTTGACCCACTTATAAATTATATATTTTAAAGAATGGCTTATTATTGTGATATGTTATTTAATCAAAATTTTAAATTTTTTTTTAAGTTCATCATCAAATCTTATGTTATTATTAGTCCACTAGACCTCGACTTGCAAATCCTCATTGGTTAAGAAAAACATCTCCACTTTAGGTATCATTCTTTATTGCAATTTTCCTTTGCTTGTTCTGTTGCAAATTAATAAATGGATTGTGTTGTTTTAGATGTGTGTAGCATTTTTACTCTTATTCTCCAAAGCTTCATTTTTTTTTCATTTTAATTTCTTATTTTTAAGGAAAAATCTCTATATTTTTTTTTCCTTTTGTCGCGTATCAACCATAACTCTCTATCTCTTTAAAGTTTCAATGTTTAATATTCTATATATAATATTTTTAACAATCAAGTGGAGTAACATTGAGTTTGACCTTATAATCCAAATAGTTGTCCTTTTACTAGATTCTAATGTCTTTGTAATTTTATAAAGTTGATTCTAATATATATATATCATAATTTTTTATTTTTGAAGGCAATTTTTTTACACTTTTCTTTGATATGTATAAGCAAACAAAAACAAACTTTGTTTTATCTCTTCAAAGTGATTTTTTTAAACTAAATTTTGAAGGTTGTTATGATTTCATAAATTTAATAATAATGTGATATATATATATATATATATATATATAATGTTTACAAAATTTTATTTACGTGCATTTACACGTGACTTTCTCTTGTATATATATATATATATATATATATATATATATATATATATATATATTCGTGCGCATGACAAGCTTATGGAAAGCATAAGAGAATGTCTTTAAGCCTTCAAATCGTTATACCAATGACTACTCTCAAGGTAGAAGATTAATTAAATGAAAAACTAGAAATTGAAGAAAGGAATACATGATACTTAACTTGGGAATCGAGATTTATGCAAAGCAATTTCCTTGTATTCTTTCACTAGGATTAATACAGATTCTTTTATTAGCTAAGATTGAAAAACTTTCTATATTCCCTACTTTTTTCTGTTGCAAGATTTATACAAAGCAATTTCCTTATATTCTTTCACTAGGATTAATTCAGATTCTTTTATTAGCTAAGATTGATAAACTTTTTAATATTCCCTACTTTTTTCTGTTGCAATCAGTGATTTGGTACTCTCAAACATAGCAACTAAAACATTCTTTCTTTCACATTTATCCAATCTTTCCCATTAAATTTTTGCTTTATAGATTAGTTTTTTAGAATGAATTGGATGACTTGAAATCTTGATTTGTTTTTATTTCGATTTTTTTAACACCCCAAGAATTGAATAAAAGACTTCATGCCAAAATTAGAGGAGAGGTATAATGTCTGCTCGACTATCTATTGAAAAAATATGTGATAGCTTAAGCTTGTGAATGTATGGAGAAATACTTTAATGCTCTTCATATTTTGATGGCATGCTACTACCAACTAATTGAATGCTGACACACAGTGATTAGACCTACTAAATAAATGCACTTTTTCATATATGAGAGGATATACTTGGTTGAGAACACCACAAAAGCTCGGAAGACTTTCTTGAGATTATAAGAATTATTTTTTAACCACTCACACACATTTTTTGCCCATCAAACTCTTCAAGCCTCTTTGAGGATGAAGAGGTTACATCATTGGACTAGATGTCTTATAATAAATTAAAGCCTTAAATAGAGTGAAATAAAAATATAGGCATCATGTAGTTAACCCTAAGTAATTGAGAAAATACTTTGTAATTGTCGTATTGTAAAAATAAAATAAAATTCATATATTTATGTATAAATTGTAGGAGGATAAATATCCATTTTCTTTCATCACAACAAGAGGAAGTTTTTACTTTGGTTTCCTTCAAAGGATGTGATTTTTGCACCTCATTCTTATATTTCGGCAATCTAGTCAATTTTCTTACAAAATAAAAAAGAACGCAGTTAACATGTAAGAGTAGACTACATAAATGATTTTAATATTAAATTATGTAATTCTGAAAAAAAAAAAAAAAAAAAAAAAAAAAAAAAAAAAAAAAAGCAAACAAACTAGTGAAAGAGTGTAAAATGAAGTATGAATATAGTTTTCTTTTTACAAAAGGCCTTGTGATATCTTCTCTACCTTCTAAAGTGAATGGTGAGGATTTGAGTTTTTAAATGAGCAAAGTGTGTATTAGTTTTTTTGCCAACGATAAATAAAATATTATTTAACTTTTTAAAACAGTTGTTTTACTTTGACATGTCTTGTTTGGGTAGGTGAAAAAAATAGGGATTTATTACATATAAATGGTGCTAATGACACATATTTATTATTTGATGGAATCAAAATCTCACAATTTCGAAAAAATGAAGTTGACTAAAATGCTGAAATAGACATGAAAAAACACTGTTCACTCTCACAAAGGTACAACTTTTTGTGCATTAGATACCACTTTTGTTTTGGGTATAGAGGCACCACTTTTATTCATATACATACCACTTTTTGTATACCAGGTACCACTTTTATATGCAACACAAAAAATAGTACCTGATGACAAAAAGTGGTATCTGCATGCACAAAAAGAGGTATTTATGCGACTAAATGTGGTATTTCTGTGAGATAACGTCTTCATTTTTTTAAAACTATAAGACTTTGACTCCATCAAATGATAAATATGAATCATTAGCACCATTTAAATGTAATAATTCCAAAAATATATATATATATAACAATCTAAACTTATGCCACATGACAAACATGGTAAGCTTGATAACAGAAGTTCCAAGTTTTGCAACTTGTTCGAACCCATTACTTCATGAAAGTGGACAATCATTTTTACTGTTACAATTGGACTTATGCTTAAAAATTCTCTGACTCAAATTTAATTTAGTTGACCGAAGTTTATAATTCAGTGCTATTTTCTAGTAGCTCTCAAAATAGAAGGATAAGAGTCCAAAATGTATGTGTGTGTGTGTGTGAACAACAACAATAATGAAAAAGACAAAAGAAAAACTAAGTTTAGTCGGACAAACCCAATCCCAAATGTAACCCCTTTTTATTATATATTTATAATTTTAAATATATCATATATATCTACCATCGTGATCAATCTTTTTTCTTTTCTTTTTTTTTCAGTTTTTCTTTAAATCTTAAATTATTGTAAATTAATTATTTGGAGAATTAAAACCTCGAAATTTTGTTTGTAAATTTTTAAATATTTGCTTTCCATTTAAAAAGAAAAATTATCCATAAAGTAACTTTTTTCTCTAACACGGTAGCCCGGCCTGTGTTCAAAATTTTGAATGTGGGTTGGGCTGGAGTTGGTGGGCTTAGATTAAGGCTTGGGTTGGGTTACTTTTAGAGGTTTAATAGCCTGGGTTGAGCCTGGGCTGACCCTCACCCAACCTTCGTTCGGTTCTGTGGTTGATCAAATTGCCTTACAATCCTGTGGCCTAAAAAGCTCGAGTCAAGGCCTGACCCTTTCCACCAAGGGTCCAGAAACATTTTTATGTTCTAACCATGAATTCAACCCTAACTTTCAACAAATTCTTCCAAAACTGTTCTAACCATGAATTCAACCCTAACTTTCAACAAATTCTTCCAAAACTGATCAAATTATGTTCCTATATACACACCTCCATATTGATGGGCAAATAGCAAAGGAGAGAATTACTCTTTCCAACTCTTTCCTGATCGTCAACATATGAAAATTCCGACTATAGACGGAAATGCATGGTGGTTAGCATTCAGTTGAACTATTTCTAAACTTGCTAATTGAAAAAAAGGGGACTCTCCAAACAAGAATTGGGTACCATTTCAGTAGAAAGGAGTGTACAAGACGAAAATGTAAAACCTTTTTCACGGAGCCATCGTCAACTTTAAAGATCAATAGGTACACGACGATGGGGAAATTAGTACTCTTATAATACAATGGAGCAATTGGGTCCAAGTACCAAAAAGGAAATGATTTCTCAATGAGCAAAACCGTCACGGGCAGTAGAAGATATCACAATGATAAATGAGCGGAAAGGGCAAGTGAATGCCATGGCAAAACTACTAAAGGTCATCTTTTACGAAACCAGAGCCCAGAGCCCAGAGCCGCTGCTGTTTATTTCGTATTGGCAAATGAACAAAATCAGATATAACGATGGTTCATATGTATGTCAAAACAATTGGAGCTTCTACCGCACCGGCTGCTGGTTGTAATGGTTCTTCTCTTTCTTCTTTGCCGCTGCAAGCTTTGCACTCCTTGCAGCAGCCTCTGTAGCAGCAGCTTTTGCAGCAGCATCCCTCTCCTTAGCTGATTTTTTCTTCTTCACAGATGCCATCTTCTTTAGCCGCTCTTTTACATCAACCGTAGATGCATCTTCTTCTGCTTGCTCGGTCCCAGCAGCATTCACTGGTCCATTAGTTGCATCTGAGCTGTTGGTCTGATCATGTGATTCCTTCACCACCTCCTTGGAAGATTTATCCTTCTTTTTCTTCTTCTTAGCATTTTTGGACTCTGCAGGGCCATTTTCTTTCTTCTCCGTATCTCTATCTCCATCTCCATTTGGTCCCCCTTCTTTCTTCTCTTTTGCAACATCTGCAAATGCAACCAAAGGAAGCAGATCTTACAAGTTTAGAAATTGAATTACAATTATGGTAGAAATTGAAACTTCTCCAACTGAAAATGGATCACAAAATTAATATCAAATTTTCCGATGGTCAACAAGAATTAACAACAAAGAAGACATAAGACTTAAATTTGTAGCCCCATTTTCAACTAGTAAATATGACAAAAGATGATAGCAATCCTTTTTCTTGACTGAAATTTTTTCTACATCGTACAAACAGTTTTGACTTCAAGCTCCTATATACTCACTATGCAATTGGTCCCAGACAGCCTTTTAGTAGACCTTCATGTACCAAAAAATTTTATAGCAATATCACAAGAGAATCATTCACGAAAAAACTACTTCAGAGTTCAGAAGGATGTGTCTTTTGATTAAGACAGTTACCAATTTGAAGATGGCACTGAGTCACTGACGAAGAAGAAAAGATAGAATTACAATATTCAAGGATGCATGGATGAAAGGGTGCTGACTTGGTGTGTGTGTGTGCATGTGAGAGAGAGTTTGCCAATTCCTTGAAGGAACAAGCATGCTTTTGTCATAAAATTCAGCAACATCATCGGGTTTATTTTCATCCATATTACATGAACTTTTATGGAACGAAAGTGTATCAGGTCCTGCTGGTATGTGTGACCAAGTCTCCAACCTCCTTCAATCTCCAATCCTAGGATGTACAGACTTAACTTAAAATGTGTCTAAAAGTTAAATATGGCTACATAAGCACGTCCTACACATTTAAATATATTGCATGATATAAATGTGTAATGTATGCTGATATAGTTCATTAATGACCCCACTCAATGGAAAAGAATTCCCAACTTGCTATTATTTAAATTATTTTTCACAAGTATTCCCAACTTGCTATGATTATCAATTAACTCATCATTTTTGTACTAAAAGAGTGTACCAGCTGTTGCACTGATAGGACCGCAATATAATCTTATCTTTCTCATCCTTAAGGAACTGGTTAAAGAGCTTTAGATAAGCTTCAACTTGGGCTTGGGCACTGACAAAATGAATGCAAATGCTTTTCAATGGTCAGTTTAGGTGTCTCCAAAAGTGGCTGCAGGACGTAAAGGCATTCAAGCAGCATCTAAACTAAAGTAAGGGTCAAAGAGCCTTGCTCTCTCTTCTGTAGATACACTATCTCTTTCAGCTATGGTAATGAAAAAGTGGGTTTCCATACAACAACAACAACAACAAAGCCTTTCTTTCAACTACTTGGGATTACTTCTTCCTCCGTCATCGGATGCAGATGATCGGGATGTCAGCTTTTGGTTTGTGTATCTAATAGATATCCCCCATGTTGTGTTGTTTCAACATGGATACGTCGCGAAGAATAGGAGGATCTACGTAATACAAATTCACATGCTACAAATAGAAGTGAGATAGATTAGATCAGGAAGGAAAGAAAAGAAAACTCCAAATACCCCATGAAAAAGCATGACAAATGCTTTCCGTATATTCTAAAGCTTTAACAAACCTTCTGTAACCTCATTTTAATTGCATCAATAAAGTTTAAACAGAAAAACTGCATCAGTTTAATTAGACGACATGGATACTCAAAGATCAATAACTTTTAATTTTCATCCTATCAAAGACCTGTCTTATGCATTAGTAATAGTAACTCCCAAAAGAGACACCCTCTGGATTGTAGGTCAGTAATGAAATGTAAAGCACAAGTTTAAATCAAATGCAGAGAAATCATAATAACCTATATAAGAGAGCAGAACAAGAGGCTTTGGTGTCTAACATGTAACTGATCAAGTTATTACCCTGAGATTCATCATGGCCATTTTCCTCCTTTGGGGCAACTCCAAAATCAGCCAAAAGGGCTTCAAGTTCTGCAAGCTCCTTTTTCTTCCTTTCCTTCTTAGAAAGTTGTCTTTCTGCCTCTTTAGGTGCTGAAGAAACTTCAGCAGCCTTCTTTACCACTGGCTTAGGATGTACAGTAACCTCTGGTTCCAGGTCATGCTCTTCCTCCACTTCATCATCACCTTCATCAAGAATATCTTCTTCACTTTCACTTACCTGCAATTCCAAAAAAACAAGGATCTTGTCAGTCATTCATCAAAACTAGAAGGGACAGCATCAGGACTATGTTAGTTAATTATTTCACAGCCATTTAAAAAAGACCGGTATTTGAACTCATTTACAAATTATATATATAGAAAAGAAAAAAAGGAGGAAGAAGTAGAAGAATAATTTTGAATAATGACTATTTCGTAACCATAACAAGCAAATAGAAAACGAAAACAATGTTTCCATATATTCCTTTTCCATAATCTTCAAGGAAAAACTATAAAATCTTGACTTCTATAACCTTTTCAAAGTCTGCGACGGAAACCTTTAATTAATCACATGATAAGTTTTAGGCTCTATAAAAATAGAGAGATTGAAGGCAAAAAAGCTTGGCAGAAACCTAAAAAATGGTTTCAAGGTTTATAACCGGTTACAATGTACAATCTCCAACCCAGTGAAAGCTTTCCCAGTCCCCCTTCCACATGCAAGGGGGTCTCACAAACCTGCACGGCAAGCCTTCCTGATCACTCATACACTCCATCTAGATACGTATTTCTACTTTTTACTAGTATTTTTATATAAATATAACAAATCTTTCAGTTTTGTCCTTTCCCTCAAGCCTTTCACTTAGATTTTGCCTACCTTTGCCGCTCGGTATCAGGGAAGGAGGGAGAAGGATGGGAGGGACGAGGCATCCCTCCAAGCCCACCATCTCGTTTCCATCCAAAAATGTTCTGAAAAGGAGAGAGAATAGTATATATAAAACTGAAATGATATTATTAACCTCCTTTAAATATATTAAATTATGTATTTAAGGTCTAATGGTAAAATAATAATAATATGTTCCATTTCATTCCTTTCCATCCAACAAACTAGAGGAGGGATGGACATTTTCATTTCTAGGGATGCCTCATCCATAACTTCTCTCCATTCCACATTTTCCCATCCCTCCTACCAAACGAAGCATAATAATTGAACTTCTTTTCTATCCTACATTTTCCAAAAAGATTCCCATCTTCAGTCTGTCTCACATATTAATGATTTCTATATACATATATATATCATATGCTTGATTGGTTTTAAGACCTCTATCTATCACATCTAATATTCCAATTTTGACAAAACCTTGAATCTGACGCTCAATATAAATCTAAAGGAGACAACAAGAAAGCATATGGTAAGGAAATCGTCCATACAGAACAACTGAAGGAATCGTCCATATAGAATAATCAAAGGAATCGTCCATATAGAATGATGAGAGGAGAAAGAATACTAAAAATTATGACACCAAAAGGTAGTGGCAGGTTTAAGTGAAGGAACAAAACAAAGAGAAGTGAGCATGTGCTTGAAGAAATAACAAAGCAAGAAGCAGAGATTATTTAAGGATATTGACCACTAATTTTGCCAGTCATGTAAAGAAATCAAAAGGAAGAAAAAAATACACTGGAGCAGCATAAATCATAATAAATAGGTTCCGATAGGCATATGAATAGATTGATTTTGATCAATAACATTATGCACAATGAAAACATTCAGTCCGCAACATATAATAGCATAAATGTGCCCAAATTTAAGAAAGTTTTATTTAGAGTTAAAAATAAATAAAATTTAATTACCTGTTGTACAATCAAAAAATTGATATATAGTACTTGATAAATCATCAAATAATAGCACAGCCAAGAAGAATACAGATTCATTAAAAGTAAAAGAAACTATAATCTATTCTCAGAATAAATAACAATGCCAAAATGTAAAAAAAAAAAAAAAAAAAAAAAAGGTCGGAAGATAACAAGTCTGAACTTGTGAAAAGTTGGTCAAACAAAATAGGGTAAAGTGCACTAAACCCCCCTAAACTATGACCCAATTGCAAGAAACCCCCCTGAAGTAAGTAAAACCCTCCAAACTATCATTTTGTTGCATTGAAGGACAAAAGGTTAATAGCCGTTAACGGAAAAGTTAAATTACCTTTTGGCCCTTTAGTTGAACGAAGTCGTTTTAAGTTCAATTTATCTTCAGCTGCTTATGTGGCACATGCAATTTCAATTTCCAATTACAAAGTGACAGCACATCAAATTTTTTTTTTTTTTTTTTTTTTTGATCGACTGTGTAGCAAAACCTCCATTGTTGCAGAGGATAACACAGAGGAGAGGTAGAGAGAGCGCAATCGCGTTTGTAACGATGGCAATCTGTGTTGAAGTGGTGGCATACAAGCTTGCACCGCATCGGCTTCACTTACGTTCCTAACTAGTTCCAAAAAAAAAAAAAAAAGCTTTGTGTCTCTAAATTTGGCCACTAAAGACCCAACTCCTTTTTGGGTTGCTTCATTGTCCTTTCGTCTTCACTTTCTCTCTTCACCTTCTTCCTTCTCAGGTGAACCAAAATTTCATCCTCTTGTTACCCAGTTAAATTTCATCACATTTCGCTGACAAAAATCCCAAAATTAAGCTCTGATTGATTCACACTTTTCTTTTTTTTTTTTTTTTTTTGGGTGTCTTTTGAAATTCATCCAATTATGTGGAATTTTTTAGCGGATTTATCAATAGGTAATGTTGCACCAATACCCAACCAAAGGGCCACTGCGGTACCAATCAAAAAGACGGTTGTGGGCATGATTCAATTTTGGGTTTCCTTCAGTTGATTCAATTTGGTGTTTGATTAGTGAATTAAGTGATTGATATAAGGATTTTGTACTGGAAATTGATATAGGGAATTCTTTCATTGATAACAAATTGAGTAGAATGATGGAATTGGAGTAGTTCAAAAACTGCTATTCACGCGTGTTAGGATAGGCACTTCGACTGTAACCTATTATATGCAGTGTTATTTTCGCGTTTTGGCAAGGATCCGACACTTTTTTCGGTATACTTCGCAATTTCAGACCTCCCTGCTTCGCTAGATGACGCAATCCTCCACATCGTCGCCGACCAACTCTCTGGTCAATACCCACCTCGCAGATGGCGAATTCATTGGAACTGTTGAAGGTGATTTGGTGAAGAGAGCTTTGGCTGCTCTGATTCTACCTTTGTCTCACCAGTAGGAAAAGAGAGAGAGACTGAAGATGGCCTATTTTGCCGAACATACAAATATGATATATATATATATATATATATATATATATATATATATATATATTATAATATTTTATCTCTTAACTAATATAAGGGCTAATTTTGTCTTTTTAAAAATTTTGCCCCATGCGTGACAGGCATGCTGTGGTTTCTGTTATTTTTCTAACGGATATTTAACGATTTGCAACAAAAGAGATAGTTAAGGGAGTTAAGTGTCTTTCAGTTAGTTCAGGGGGGTTTCTTGGGAAAGAGAAGAAAGTTCAGGGGGGTTTAGTGCACTTAACCCAACAAAATATATTAAAAAAACCACAAACCGATGCCATCATACAACCTTCCCACTCCACTCCTGGAAATAAGATGGCCCTAACCTTGTAACCAATCTTTCCTTTCAAAATTTTTTGACATTGCACATGTGGCAACCTAGGTCAAGCATGTGATAGACACCATTTTATATAAGACAACAGTATAATTGTAAGCATAAATAATATAGGAAGAGAGTAGTAATTATATAATAATCTTTACAATATTGCCAAGCTTTATCTTCCACATTGTGCAATTCTTTTTATAAAGATATAAAAATGAAATCAGAGTCACATTTTTATATGAATACATTGAAAAAATTATACTCATATATCGCCGCACCCGTATCTACTTTAGTAGAATTTTCTATGTTGGTGTGTCCATTTCATAATGCACATGTCCCAAAAAGCAGACAGTTAACTAGAAATGGCTACTCAAAAAGGCAGGTCATTTGGAGCAATTAATTGCCATGGATAGCATCCAATAAAGTTACATTGCCAAGTGGAATAAAAGGCAGAGTTAAAGTTGCATGCCAAAAGTAAATAATTGATTGGCGATTCTATAATTAATATGTAACCAGCAAGTCCTACCACTAGTGACTATAAATCTTTACTGCTGAAGACTCTAGTGTGTTTTATCTTGTGTGATAACATAATAACATATATGATTAATAACTTGCCTGATGAAGTGCCTATTGATTACGTACTTGACTGGTGATTCATTGGGGTTGAATGCATTTAACTAAATCTTAAATTAGGAAATTATTGTGCGGAATTAAATTAGATGCAATCACCCCCATCTAAGTCCTATGCGCTTCCATGAAGGCATTATCTGAGGCACCAGGACAAAGGGAAGTGGGAGTGCAGAAACTATGAACTTTTTTCATACTCAGTTTATACATTAAGACAAGAGGACTGAAAAACATGCATGCATACAACATGACAATTAAATTAGATGCAATTACCCCATCTAAGTCCTATGCACTTCCATGAAGGCATTATCTGAGGCACCAGGACAAAGGGAAGTGCTAGTGCAGAAACTATGAACTTTTGTCATACTCAGTTTATACATTAAGACAAGAGAACTGAAAAACGTGCATGCATACAACATGGCGATCCAAAGACAATTAATGTTGTAATCACATAACCAGTTCCCTCACTCCAAAGCGCCTCCTCATCTATAAGAAGCCTCTGTATGGATATATATATATATATATATATATATATATATATATATATATATTGTATCTAGATTCAAGTTCAAAGCATTTACATAGATTGTTTCTCTCAACTAGGTAAAAATAATATTAATACCAATACAACCTCCACCTTTTAGCAACGATGAATCACCTAAGGATCACAAGGAACAAGGTGTTGTCTTTTTTAGTAATAAATCATGCCTGCTAATTGAGGCATACCCAACCCAAGTTTATTGAACTGAATTTCACATTTTAATAATCATAGTCATTTTACAACCACAATCTTCTTGAGGTTTTGATCAGCTTCTTCAATGTTTCAAAGCTCGAGTCTAGTCAACAATGATCAACCATCACAAAAAAAGGTGGTTGTAAAATGGCCAGAGTCATTAAGATGCAAAAATAAAGCACATATTTTTACCACAAAACACAAATTTCATGTGTAGTTATTTGTTATTGATATTCTTTAATTGATGAAACTAGATCAGGATGCATTTGTCAAATTAGATGTCTCAACTAAGAGAGTATTTAGAATAAGGATGGTTTAAAGTAAGTAGAACAAAAACTGAATTTATGGAAAGTAACTTTAGAAAAACTTTAAAAAAAATAGTGGGGATGATGTGAAAATAGAACGTAGGAAATATCAACAAGTGAACTGCAGTTTCTGAGAAATTTCCATGATTGGGAGATTACGGAGGTACCAGAGTTCTTAGCATTGTTGTACAGCCAGGTGGTGGAGGGGGAAGGTATGGATGAGATGGTTCGGACATGCTCCTCAAGAGGAGTTTTTGGAGCCCAACCGTTCTACCAGAGCCTTTTGGGGATTCAGGGGCCTACTTTTCCCTGGAAGGCCATTTGGAGATCGAAAGCCCTTTTGAAATTGGCTCTTTTTTTTTTTTTTGGTCTGCTGCCCTTGGGAGGATTCTCACTTTAGGAAATCTGAAATGGAGGCGTCAGATTGTGGTGACCTGGTGTTGCACGTGCAAGGAGGAGGAATTGGTGAACCACCTTCTTCTTCATCACCCAGCAGCGAAGGATGTTTAGTCTATCTTCCTGGCTATGTTTGGTCGGCATTGAGTGTCTCCTGGTTCTACGGTAGATATGATCGAGGCTTGGAGTGGTGGATAGCCAAGCCAAAAATGCTTGGAGGGGCCACGTAAGAGGAATAGGAGGTCCTTTGATGGAGAGGAGACTCCTATTTGGTCTCTCTTCGATGGAGAGGAGACTCCTATTTGGTCTCTCAAATAGGTCATCCTATGAGTACTTTAGTTTTTTGGAGTAAATGGGTGGAATTGTAAATCCTTGGGGGATTTTGTGGATTTTGTTGATAGTCTAAAGGTTTAGTTGGCCGGATTTTTTGGTTTTCTCTTGGGAGCGCTCCCCTCTTGAGGGCCTTTTAATGAAATCTTAATAATAAGAAATCATATATATTTAGTTTTAAAACGTCTTATTTTAAACCTTAAACACAATTAATAAATGGGTATCACTAGGACAGCACACATAACCAGCTAATGATAAACAAGCAACAAATACACTACTAGAAGAGGACTTCAACATACATATAAATTAATCAGCAACCCAAATGGTATAAATTAGTCAGCAAGATGCAATCCAGGTACATGCAATCATGAGTATTTTACTCCTGGATACCTCAACAAACTGCCATAAAATTTACATTAAAAAAAAAAAACAAAAACAAAAACAAACAACCAATAGGCAAGCTGTGTTCAGATGTTACCAGATTCAAAGGCAAACAACATACGACCTCCATCAAAAGAAGAAAATATATACAATGTATATCTCAATGGTTGACAATGTACGGAAAGAAATTCAAAATCTCACCTCTTCAGGAGCTGATTTCTCTTCAACAGGCTGAGGTGCCGACAAACCCCAAACGGATTGAGGAGGAGCCGTGGTCGCATAATAATCGTCATCGTCCTCATCATCAACATCTGCCCACGATTTCACCTTCAGTGGCGCAGGGGCCCAGTAAACCTGATTCTCTGCTTCCTTCGCTTGGGCAATTGAAGAACCCTTGCTCTTTGACTTATCAGTTTTCTTCTTCTTCCTAAGACTCTCAAGCGCTGCAAACACGTTGTTATGGCTGATCACCAACGATCCGTCGTCCCTCCTGTTACCACCTCCCATTGTTTCTCTCCTAATCCCAAACGAACAAGAACCCAAATACTGTTTGGAATACCAGAAAGTTTCTAACAATTTGATATGAGTTTCAGAAAGCTAAGAAAAAAATTTATTTCAGGAAAAAAAAAATCCAAAAATAAGCAAAATAAAATTATCGTTTGAGAAGTTTGTCCCAATCGATTATTGAATTAATAAATTAATAAATTAAAAAATAAAATAACATCAGAGGTTTCTGAAAGATTGTTAGGATTACCAATGAAGATATAAATATTTCTGTGCAAGAAAGAGAAATTTAGATGTAACGAAGATTGTTATGTAATCTATTGTGATTTGAAATATTCGATAGATCAGAAATTCGTTTGATGATGATGTGCAAGCGGATGATTAGGGTTTCTAAGAGAGATCGAGAGCGAGAGAAATTTGATAGAGAAAGTCGGAGATAAAGATATATATATATATATAATCAAGATGAATAGTTTTAAAGAAAATTGAGAAAGAAAAGGCTGGGCATTAGAGAGAGATAGGGAGAGAAAGAGATATGGGGAGAGAAAATTAGGGTTTTGTTAGGTTGGATTCTCGTTTTGGAATAGAGGAGCTTGTTACGTTTGAGAGAGAGAGAGAGGAGGCCGAAAAAACAGATAACGTAATGGAGGAACACGAAAGCAAGCTTATATAGTTGTAATTTTTAGCCAAATGGTACCTAAATTTATGTCTTTTTGCAAATTAGACGCTTAAACTTTTGAAATTGCATAAACACTAATGGTAAATGCCAATAAGTCCTTTGTTAAGACAACAAATTCTTACCTTTTATAGATATTTCTAACTAAATTCAAAAATCCACCACCAATGTTGTTTTTTTCCAATTTTCCATTTCTTAACGAAAAAACTCGAATGTCTTTCATTAAGAAACTAATTATATTCAATGTTGCCGCTAATTTTATAACTAGCAATCAATTAATAATAATAATCAAAATCAAAAAAAAAATTCCAGATTATTTTGAACTTTTACTGGCCAATATTATTTCAAAAGAGAAATAAAATCAAAATTATAGCTAAATTTAAGTAAATTTTAAAATATGATATATAAAGAAAGTGCATCAAGATGGTATCAACTTTCGTTGATATTTACTTTAAATAAAAAAGGAGAAAGATAAAACAATCACATTGATTTGACATAATTCAATATATTATTGTATATGTCTTCTTAAGTTTGATTATCACACTTATCTTTATATATAAAAAGCCTTTTAGTAATAAATTGGTTAACCAGAGAATCTGATCATTTGTTAACATAGGTTCTGAGGGGATAATACACCACGTTTAGAATCTTCCTTGATTCTCCATTGAATATTAAACAAAACGTGTAAGACGTTTTTTCTCAAAGTGTAGAAATTATAGAAAGTGATTACGTACACTTAAATTTTGTGATGGTTTAATCATCCTTTGATTAATTAAGACGTCAAATATTCTTAGTCAATTAAATTTTATTATTGTCGGTTCATCAATGAACACATGTCAAAATCACAAGGGAACAGACTTTTAAGAAAGTGTGATAGTTCAAATTCAAACTTGAATAGATTTTCATATAAAGTGGAACAAATCTTTTATTTATGGACAAATTGCACAAGCATTGGCGAGTTTATAAATCAAACGACCCACTCATTGTCTTATAAATACAAGGTCATCCTACACATTTCATGGATAGACCGACACACAGATACATACACCCAACAAAATTTTCAAAGTTTTTGAAAACTGTCATCGCCCCAAGATCAAGCTTCCAAAGCCCTTGCATTTTGTTTCACCAGCCCTCTTTCAAAAATTCATTTGAGTTTTTTCTTCAATTATGAAAGACTCAAATATAGTTCAACCACCAGCCCACGATCAAGCTTTCAAAACCCTTGCAGGAGATTCAATCAGAGGGAGATTCTGATTGTACAAGAATTGTACTCATTTTTCATGATTATTAATAAAATCGTTAATTGTTGCACAAATTTCGTGTCCGAAAATCTAGGAACAAAAATAAATGCAACAAATAACAATTTTTGTAATAATCAGGAAAAATGAGTACAATTCTCTACAGGCGACTCTTTACAATTAGAATCTCCCTCTGATTGAATCTCCTTGGAACGTTGGCGCAAGGGCTTTGGAAGCTTGATATTGGGCCGGTGGTTCAACTATATTTGAATCCTTCAGAATTGAAGAAAACTTAAATGGATTTTCGAACGAGGGCCGATGGGGCGAGTTGAAGGCATTTGATTAATAACGGAGTAGGTGTAGCATGCTTGTTATTCTTCGTCTTTAGAAACTTCGGACACTTGTTATCCTTCGTTTCTTCGTCTTTAGAAACTTCAGTATTTACCAACAGATCAGTGACTTAGCGGTACCTAACTCTTACTTTTCAAAGAAAGATCAGGACAATCCCCAATGGAAATTATGAATCCATCTTAACTAATCCCCAATGGAAATTATGAATCCATCTTAACTAAACTATGTAAACAAAGTTTAGGGCACAAAGTTTAGGCTGGCCCACAATTAAGCTGGCTCTGGATTGGGTTCTATAGTTGGGGCCCACTTAAGATTTGAGCCTAGTTTGGGTTTTTAACGCACAACTTTCTTATTGACACAACAATACCACCAACTCTCAGATTTGGGCCAGTTACGTTACTTTTTCACAGACCGAAGCTGTGTTCAATTGTTTAAACCAATTATGATTATCTCCCATAATTGACAGTTCAATGTATACAAACGGAGCTCTCAAGTCATTAACACATAACATTTGCATATACTTGAAATATCCATGTGGTATATTATTGATAGATACACACACACACACACACACATATATATATATGAGAAACACCCAATTAGTTATATTTCATTGGATGTTGCATTTCGCAGCAGCACCGAATCAAAGCATTGGATCGGAAGAAATTTAGTTTGAATAGAATGAACAAAATTCACTAGGGCAACCATAGAGAAAAACCATTTTTAGGCCCTTGCAAGACACGGATAAAATGTCAATGTTTATACGAGATTATACAAACAAATACAAGTATGCCTCACATATAACAGAAGGTAAACTGTGCACAAATTCACCAGGAAATTTTGAAAAAGAAAATGTGAATAGAATATAACAGGCCTATCTCCTGTAAAAAAATACATGGCCGAAAATACTTTTTTTGAGCAGTTCCGTGTCTTCTCCATTTACTATGCCACAAAAAACAGGAAAATCATGAGGAAGAAAATCAATACAAAGAATATCTTGATCATCAGCCACCTATTTGACGATATGCTGTTGAGGTACTTGAGCAGAGCCCCCTGTGCTCCCTCCACATTTGCCAACGTGTCCTCCATGTTCTCATCAATCCTGCCACAAAAACATCACTAAGGGATTTAGAACTGAAACCATGAACCAAAAATTTAAATGTCAAGCAACGACGATAATTTGTTTGACATATACGATAGTTCATGCCAGTTTTGATCAAGTTTTATTAGTGAAGCACCAAATTCAAACCCTCCTCTCAGTCCCTGCCACTTGAACATTGCACGCGTTCCTTATCACATTTTCTTTTTTTCTTTTTGTATATGGATATTTTCCACTTCCCAATGTAATTACTTTTACTCAAAAATTCCCTTATATTGTCAAGTGGCAGCATTTTAACTATTGTTCTGACCAAATGAAAACTGCTCCCTACCATAACTGTTGGTGAAAGTAAAACAAAGCTAAGTCTTGGCTTAATAGGATAAAATAGATTTCCAATTTGCGTTAAAATTGATTGTCGATTAATGAATATGCAAGTAATGTCATTACCCAAAAAAAAAAAAGGAAAGGAAAAAGATAATCCATGTGAGATCTCAAGCTTGTAAAGTCAAACCTGATGGCAATCTCTCCTTGCTGAGAAACCAAGGTCGCCAACTGATTGAAGATGCTGCTCAGCTCATGAATTGTAGACTCCACATTTTGAAGAGCTTCAGCTCTGCTCTGCATGTAGCTGTCTTGTAATGGAACCAACTGCTGTTGCTGTTGATGCTGCTGCTGCTGCTGCTGCTGATGCAGCAATGGCTGAGTCTCCCCGTCCATCTGCTTCCTTTTAGAAGAATAACCAGTTATAAGATTCTGCTAGTGTATATATAACTTTCAGATCATCAATATAGATTATGATTCCAGTTCATGAAAATCTACAGCCCGAATTGGTCATCAATTGGAGCCCCAATGTCCAAAACACAGAATAGGTGAACTCCTTAAAGAATTGCAAGATAAAACAAATATGTACTCGGCGGATGCTGTAGCGAAACTGATTGTGAAAGAAGGGAAATCGGCCGCACAATTCAGAATTGTATCACACAAACCAATCTAGTACTAAAACTAGACTTACTGGTCGCAGAATAAAAGGGCATTAGGATGTAAAGTGGAGAGAACGGAAGGTAAAAAAGAGATAATTTTTAGAGATAAAATATTACAAGAAAAACAGTTGAATTGGAATGGTGATATTAATACATTGTGGAAAAAGTGGCAGTCTATCTTAGAAGCATGGCGAAGGAAACTTTGGAAGAAACCAAAGAGAAGATATTTATCAAAAAATTATCCAAAAATAAATATGGTGGTGGGTAAGGAAATACATGTAATAAAAATAAGAGAGAGAGAGAGCTTCAAAGAATGACAAAAAGCAAGAAACAAAAGGATCAAGAGAAATACGAGAAATTAATAGAATTAAGCAAAGAAGATGGTAAATTAAGCTAAACAAAAAATGCATTAAATGGCTTTAATGACAAAGTAGGTACTAGACGGTGAACGAACTATTTATAAGTCGGTAAAAAGTTGAGATAGGTTGACTAGAGACATGAATCGAGTTTGATGAATTAAAGACATAGATCAAACAATAATACTTAAATAAACCAACACATCAGATAGATCAAAAAAATTATTATGAGGAATATCCTAGAGAAGAAGTTGAGAATAATGAAGCTAACATAGTATTGATAAATAAAAATCAATAATTAAGAAGCTGAGTACACTTTAAAATATATAAAATAAGGAGGTAGGACCTGATAACATACATAAATAAGTATGGAAAACTCTAGGAAAAAGTAGGAATTGAATGAATAACAAGTTTATTCAACAAAATTTTAAGAGAAGACATAATGCTAAATGAGTGGAGGAAAAGCACCATAGTACCAATTTTTTTAAAAAAATAAACATATACAAAATTGTGGTAGTATCAAGGAATTAATTAATGAGCCATAAACGAAACTATAAGAAAGGGTGGCAAAACAAAGATAAAGATATCCATAGAATCTGACAACTAATATGGATTTATGTTACGCAAATCTACAATGGAGAGCATTTATTTAATAAAACAATTAATAGAAACTTGTAGGAGTAAACAAAAAGATTTACATATGGTTTTCATAGATTCAAAGAAAGTATAGGATTGGATACCGAGGGAATATAATTTGGCGGGCCTTGTAAAGATAACATATTCCTTTTAAACTTGTAAAAAGTATTCAATATACGTAGAAGAACAATTACTTATCAAAATAAATAAATAAATGTACAAGAACAATTGAGTTCCTACTATATGTGGAGAGACTATTGATTTTTTTTTATATAAAAGTAGGATTACACCAAATATCAGTGCTAAGCTTATACCTATCTATAATAGGTTTAGATGAAATAGAAAAAAACTTACAAGGATCATTCCATGATGCATGTTGGTTGCTCATGACATGGTATGATCAGATAATTATAAGGAAGTGCAAACAACAAAATTAGAAATGTGGAGGAAAATATTAGGTTCTAAAGGTTTAAAAATAGTAAGGATAGGATGTAAATTTAATAAAGTTTCAGAGTTTAACAGCCTAATGATAACAACTCAAAACCAAAGAATTATCCAAATTAATCATTTTCGATATTTGATCAATGATACAAAATGATGGACAGATACATGTTGATATAATTAGTACAATTGGATCAGGTTGGAAGTATGGAGGCGGCTAGTGGTATCTTAAGCGACAAAATAATATACAATAAGTTATAAGGAAATTTTCATTAGACAACTATCTTCTAGGAAGCAGAATGTTTGGTATTTGAAAAGAAACAAGAACGCATCCATGTAACCGAAATGATGATGTTAAGATGAATGATAGGGATTGAAAGAAGAGAGGGTTAATAATTGAAGTATAAGGGAGAAATTAAGAGATAAACCAATTAATGATTAAATAAGAATAAGTAGACTTATACATCATCTTAATAGATGGGGTGGTATACAAATACAATCACATTTAGGTTTTGAAATGACAGAATCAATTTTTTTTAACCATCATTTGCTAAAAAAATAAAAAAGATGATTCAAGCTTCTTAAACAGTAATAATTTTTACCGAGGAAATAACTGGGATGAAGACTGTGAGCCATTAGCCCAGGGAGGAGGGGGTGCGGTTGAGGTACTAGCAGCAGCAGACTTAGCAGCCAATGGACGCTGGCGAACAAAAGGATTTGTGGAATCCTTTGAAGCAGTAGAAGAAAACAGTTGTCTTCGGTTCTCATGAACCTTCAAGTTCTGCATAAATTGAAGATCATGCATTCAGTCTCAAGCACAAAAATGTATGGGAAACAGGCACACGGTGACACCATTCCAAGAGAGTTCCATTACAACAACCAGCCCATTTAAGCAAACTAAGAAATGCAGTAAATTTGACCTCACCTCTGTCCGCATTGTTAGAACTTCCTTGAACTCCTTTGTTGTGCTCATCAACCGATTTTTCAAGTCATCTACAACTGTAGTTGAATGAATGGTGGTGTCACTGGAGATATTCCCACTTTCATTTCGAGAGTTGCTGTGGAGCTGAAGGTCAACTACAGCTGAGTTAAGCGCAGTAATATCCTGCTTGATAACTGCAGTCAGATCCTGGATTTCCATGGTGGGGTCATCAAAAACTGAGGTCCTCTTTGCCACTGCAGATAATAAATCATGCTTAAATAATCTCTTATGCTTCATACAATTGCAAAAGATACCAAATAACCATATCAACTGACCAAACCATTTTGTCAAACAAAATCACCCACCATTTCTAACAAATTTAGGCCTAGACAATAAATCTATATGCCATAGAAATGTCAATGGCATTTTATTTTATATGAGTTTTTAATATTATATAATACCACTATTAATTATTTTCCTATTTAAAATATAGGATGTTTGGCCACCAAACTTTTCGAATTTAATCTCAATTTTTCAATTGTTTCCTTGGAAACTATACAATGAATTCCAAGTCAATGCGTTCTCCCAGTCTCTCACTCCTCCTTTGAAGGCCGAAGATTTTATCAAATCATCACAAGCATTTTAATGGTATTGGTATAATTCCCTCTCTTCATATCTATATCTATATCAAAAAACACCAACAGGCCTGTGGCCTAGCGGTACAAGGCTCCTACTTCCCAAAGAGAGGTCAAGGGTTCGAACCTCAGTGGAGGTAGTGTGTGTGAGTCCCAACTAGGAATATATATATATATATATATATATATATATATCAAAACTCATCATCATTATCCTTGCCTTAATTCCATATGAGGGGGGTCACCACATGAATTCTCTTTTTCCATTTTTTTTCATATTAAAAGTCTTCTCTCCTATAAGATTTAGCTTTTCAACTGATTTCTAATAATTTCATCTCATGTTAATTTCAGTTGCTATATGTCTTCTACCTTTTATGCAAATTACTCGTCCTCTTCCTACCGACACCTCTATAGGTCTTCTTTGTATTATTCCATACCAACTAAATCTAATTTCTCTTATTTCATAACTAATAGGTGTCTCCTAATTTTTCTCGCATTTTGATTAGTAACCCTATCTTTTATCATCCATCTTACCATACTCATTTCTACTACATGAGTTCATTATTCGTGTTTCTTTTTTAAAAGCCCAGCACTCTGCACCAAATAAATAGTTGGCCTAATGTTCTACAATATATTTTTTAATTTATTTGTTACTCTTTTATCGCATAAAACACTACCAACCTGGTCTCTCAGGCATTAATGGAAATTCACACCATATAAAACGTGTGAGGATTCAAATCCAAAAAAAAAATTTAATTAAATTAAAATAGACTAAATATATATACATCTGACCCTTACAAGACCCCGCAATGGCGAGAGCCTCATGCATTGGGCTAAACCTTTTTAGACTAAAAATATATACATGGTTGTCTACATATAAAATAAATTATACACATAACATAAATGTGTATATGTATACATATGGTTTTGATCAATTTTCTTTATGATTGATTGTAAAGAAAAGTGAAGACTTTGTCTGTTAAATAAAAACAAGACTAAAGTTAACAAAGACTGAAGCACAGTTACCCCTTTGTACATTTTAATTCTTTCCATTTTATGTTTTGAGAGCTTATTAAATACTTATCAGACTAGTATTTGGCGTTGTTTGTGAGATGTTCCTCAGGGTTCACCTTGCAAGTGACCAATTCCCTTCTTCTATTCAAACAATAGTCATGATTTGTGTCTTATTCCTTCCACTTTTAAATGTTATTAAATGTTCTTCTCTTTAAAAAAATATAGGGCGACGACAGTGGGGTTCTGCAACTTTAAGGATCAACGTGTGGTCCTTTCGTGTTGGATGTTGTGGCGTTCTCAGTGATCAAGGTCTCAAGCAGATCCGGTTGTTTGGCCTCCCATTGCATCTCTGGTGTCATGCTTTGTTCGTCGAACTGGGAGAGCTTTGCGGTGGGTACGTTAGATCTGAAGCGGATGAGACTAGGGATGCTGAAAGCGTTCGGATAACAGTGCGATCCGATCGTGATTGCCCGAAGTTCGTGTTTATTAACGATGACACTTTCTGCTACAAGGTCGCGATTTGGGAAGAAATTTCGCCGGAGCTTGTTCCTTCAACGGAGAGCCTTGAAGGCAGTGATGGATCTCATCTTATGTTGGAAGAGAAATGGAACGAGATAATTAGTAAAGGAAAAGAAGGGATTCTTGAAATTCGGCAGTGGCTGAAGGATCGCGAAATCCAGCAAGCAGTGAAGTTTATTGGAGGTAGACGATAAAGTGAGTTTCACGCGCCGGCCCAACGCGTCATTGATGAGCAGTGCTGGTGTACACCTGGTGACAGACGGGATGCCCCTTCAGATTCAGGGTAGGGGAGGATTTCATTCAGGCTGAGAAAGGCGGAGTGTTGGTCCATAAGAAGTCAAGACAGGCCAGGAGGACTGGGCCCGGTTTCAATCTTGGGCTCATTCAACCAAAACCCAACAGAGCGAATTTGGGTTCTGGGCCTAATCGACGGATACAAAAAGGGCCACTTAGATTTGATCAAAGTGGGCAGCTTCAGGTTGGGCCTAATAGAAGGGTACGAAAAGGGCCATTTATCTCCTTTCCAAATACTGAACCTAGCCCCAAAGAATCACAAGCCCATGCTAAACCTTCAACTCATTTGTTGAAACCCGAGAGGAGAACGATGAACGTCGGTCGCCATGGATCTCGGTGGACTCGGACTGAAAAACAAAAATGGGTTGCACGATCTCACACTTCTTCTCCAGGTTTGTGTTCTGGTCTTTCTCTAAACGCTTTCTCTACCTCTACTTCTTCTTCTTCGGGAAGAGAGATAAGTAACAGGAATGTTGTGGAGGATGTATCGAATCAACAGAAAAGTATTATTGGGAATTCAAGTTCATGGTGTGATGGGTCAGAGTTGGATGTCTCAAAGGTCACAACTGGGAGTATGGATTTTTTCAATGGAGTGACAGTTTGCGTTGGGAAAGATCTGCATTTCAAATTGAATAATGACTCAACTGTAGCTTTGCTTAAAGAGCTTCGGCTCTTTGCTGCGGTTGAAGGTTTGAACAGTTTATCATTTAAGCATGAGGAGACTTTGCCAACCCCACCCAAAAAAGTTGATGCTTCGGAAACATAGGGGAATTTGCAGTTAGGATTGGTTGATGTTCCTTCTCAGCAACACTGTTCTAATGATTCTTTTTCCGGGACAGACTTTGATCATGCTGAAGTGGATTTAATTGAATCTTTGGCAGTTGTGCGGCCTGATTGTTTGGAGACGACCAATGATCTGGGTATGGAATGGGTTATTGAGAATATTGGAGCAGTAAGCGAAGCTTTGGGTGTCTCTGCAGAAGGTTATGAGGAACAAACATTGTCTATTCTTCCCGAAATTGTTGCAGGAAATGGTAGTACTGAACCAAATCATGACACAAAAGAAGTCAAAGCCAGAAATTCACATCGGAAAGGCAAACAGGAAGTGAAGAATCTGATTTCTTGTGTTAATTATGACGAGAAGAATGGGACGACCAAAGAAAGGGGAAGAACCAGAAGTGGTAAATGGGGAGGAGGAGTAGAATTGATTGTTTTTGGTTCTTAATGAAGCTACGACTTATAACATGGAATGTTCGTGGTCTTAATGATCCGAAAAGAAGAAGAAGAAGAGTTGTCAAGGTAGCTTTAAGGAAGTGGAGTGCTCATGTTGTCTGTTTACAGGAAACTAAGATGGCTGATATTATTGTTGAGATTGTCAGGAGTCTAAGGGAGGTAGGTTTGTGGACTGGGAAGTGTTAAATGCAACAAGCACCTCAGGTGGTATCCTACTCATGTGGGAACGAAGATGGTTGTCAAGTCTGAATTGTTGCAAGGGTATTTTCTCTGTGTCTTGTATGTTTCAGATGGAGGAAGACAATTTCAGGTGGGTGTTTTCAGGTGTTTATGGGATAGTGATAAACCATTCCTGTGGGAAGAGCTTTGTTATGTGAAGGATTTATAGTCATTGCCTTGGTGTTTAGGTGGGCATTTTAATTCTGTTAGGTCCCCATTTGAGAGGTCCACAGGGGGCAGGTGGTCTTCAGAAATGACCATATTTTCAGAATTTATTGATAGTAATTTCCTTATTGATATTCCATTGGAAGGAGTAGCCTTTACTTGGTCTAATGGTAAGGAACCGGTTACTTTTTCCCGATTGGATAGATTCTTGATTTCTGGGGCGTGGGAAGAGCATTTTCCGGATGTCTCTCAAGCTGTGTTGGTTAGAGTCACATCTGATCATGTGCCTCTTGTTTTAGATTGTGGTGGCTTGAATTCTAAACGCACTCCTTTCCGTTTCGAAAACATGTGGCTTAGATCTGAGGGCTTTCAAGGGAAGGTTCAGTCTTGGTGGGAGAAAGCGAATTTCACAGGCTCTGCTAGGTATGTGTTAGCTAGAAAGTTTCAGTTTCTTAAAACTGAGTTAAAGGGGTGGAATAAATACGTGTTTGGGAATCTTGAATGGAATAAGAATAGAGTTCTTGCTCATATGGAGGAGATTTCGTGGCGCCAGAAGTCTCGGGCTTTGTGGTTAAAAGATGGGGATCGAAATACAAAATTCTTTCATAGACTTGCTAATGCCCATAGAAGATGCAACCATATCGGGCGTATCCGGGTCAATGGTTCTAAATTGTGGAGGGAGGACGATGTCCGCGGGGGAATCGCTTCTTTTTATCAGCAACTTTACGCTAAGACTTTGGATTAGAGACGTACTCGATGGTCTTCCTTTTAATTCTATTTCTACATTAGATAGGGATAGAATTGAGATTCCATTCACGGAGGAGGAAGTGCTTAAGGCATTTTCCAGTTGCAACGGGGACAAAGCTCCAGGCCAGATTGGTTTACTATGGGCTTTCTTAAGGAGAGTTGGGAGGTGGTGCGAATTGAGGTGATGGGCACTTTTCAGGAGTTTTATTCTCATGGCACATTTGAGAAATCTCTGAATGCATCTTTTATTGCTCTTATTCCTAAGAAGGGTGGTGCCTCTGATATTAAGGACTTTCGGCCAATTAACTTAATTGGATGTTTGTATAAGCTTATTGCCAAGGTTCTTGTCTCCAGGATGAGTAATGTTTTGGATGGTCTCATTTCAGAATCACAGAATGCTTTTGTTGGTGGAAGGCAGATTTTGGATT